TGAAAAGAGAGAAAAATAAGAAACTTCCCAATTATTTTTTATTTTCTAGTATCCTAATATCATTTTGTGTGCCATAGGTCTCATTTATTCTATGGCAACGAATTGTACTCAAAGCTTAAGCTTCATAAAATTATCTGTCAAAAAATGAAACATTGCATATTTCAGGGCTATAATCTGTATAATGTAACACTTTGTTGAAATTATTCAATTTAAGTGATTTTTTTTTTAACCTCTTCGTTTTATGCATAATATGTTTAAAATTGTACGATTTAATATTCTATTTACTCAATTTTACGGTTAGGCGGAAACTATTAAACTGACGGTTAGGCAGATAATTGCTTAGAAGTCTATAACTTAGGGTTGAGTAGATGGAAATGCCGAAAATATGAAACATTTATTTTTATTTTTTTTTTAAATAATAGTAAAAAGCGTGGAAATTTATCAGTTCCACAAGAATTAAGTTCTCCTGTTCAATTTAAGAGTAACGAGAATATTTCTCATTTATAATTATTAATTGATATCAAAGTTTTAAACGTTGTATAAAAAAATATTTGAATTAAAATATGTAAAATATTTTGTTCGCAATACATTTGAAAATTCAAACCCTCCAAGCGAATATTGTGCTTCAAACAAATCGAAACTTGAAAACATTCCACTATAAATTTTTATATAAAAAATTTTTCGCTTTGATGTAAACTTTACGCAAAAACTTCAACCAACTTTAGTCATCGAAACTATTGACGTACCATAACAAAATTTAATTTTTTTAATAATTAAATATTAAGGTAAAATTCATTTTCAAATATCATTTTAAAAATAATTTATTAGTTAATTCGGACTTTCCATTATAAAATGTTTAACGATTGATCCAATCTTTTAAAATTTTTATTTTTATGACACTTATGAAGACTAAAATCAGATAAAGTAGGCACATTATTGTTTCTTATTATCTTATTGAAAAATAATACTGTGAAATTCATGAAATTTGGCGTCGAGTATCCAGTAATATGTCACATATATCGCTGAAGTTTTTTTGGAATGGTTCGGTTCGGATAGTTGTCATACAATTCCAAGAGTTAGTTGCAAAAACTTAAATTTTTGAAAAGATAATAAAGTTAGATTAATGAAATTTGGCAGCAGTGTTTCCAATAATAATTCAGACACATCCGTGAAGTTTCTGTAGTTGATTTGATAGGTTCAAGTAATTGCCATACAACAATGAAAGCTAATTCTAAATATTTCAAAAATAAATTTTTTAAACTCAGATTGTCAAGGTAAAGGATACAATTCAGTTGGTTTACACGGGTTGAAAAAATTTAACTTGTTATCTTGAAATATGTAAAAAAATACCGATTAAATTTTGTCAACCTTGAAACATGGGTAACAAAACATAGGTACTGATTCTGTATGTTCCGACTCAATTTTTCCCTCGCTTTCTCTCTTTAAAAATAAATTCCGTTACACGAATATATGCACATAGTTTTTACTCAATTTCTCACCCTGTTGCTATAAAAGTAAAATGCAGAATGAGTGTTTCGTTATTCGTTATAGAAATTTAATATACTCTTCAGTTTTTTGTACCTTTTTCTGTGTAGGCAAGAAAATAAAAAAAATTCAATAGGATTTTCATAAAAAAATGACAAAAAACTAAGAATAATTTTCTTTTGAATTTTGACGTTCGGTGTGCTCTTGTTTAGCATCACTTGTCGTTGTCATGTTTTTCATTTTACTACATTTTTATTTTTATTTTTATTTTTTTTTGTTTTTAGTTTAATATAAACATGTAACACGAGCCGTACCTTAAATTTGTTTCGTTTTTTGTTAGTGTAAGCGTAAAAAACATTAACAAAATTTAAATTTATTCGGTTACAAAAATAAAACCTGCAAAAAAAAAAAATGGCAGAGCAAAATGTTTTTCTTATTTTATGCATACATAGGTGTTCTTAAGTGATGCTCAAACTAATTTTTCAATTAAATATCATTTTTATATTGTTACTCGTATCTGTCTGCCATTTACATAAGAAAATAAATCTATAAAACATTAAAATTAAATTTCCGCTTATTTAATTTCGTATATAAATTTTATAAATAAATTTGTAAAAATAAAAATAAAATAAATTTTAAAATTATATAAAGATACGCAAGCCAGTGAAAAATTATTAAAAATATTTTCCCCAATTCTGATTAATTTTTTAAGTACAAAAGTGTGTTGAAAATTAACATAAAACGAGAAAAAATAAAGTTGACTATACCAACTATGTGGTACCTGTACCATTGTTTATCAAGAACTAGCAAAAAGATTTACTATTAAAATTTTTCAGAATGGTTCTAATACTGAATTGGGTTGCACTTGCACTTCATTTGGGTTAAGCCCAAATTATTTTCAAATTTGTATGAAAGCTATTTTAAGAACTTATACAACCACAACCAAATCTTACTGGAAGAGTGGCTCCAACATTCTACTAATTAATATAATATTTGAATACTATGTGTCTCATAATTTCCGAGATATAACTTTACACTTATTTATTGGAGCCGTATGGCAACTATTGCAACCACTTATACAATCATAATTGAGTTTTAATGGAATATTGACACTGTTACTCCATTCAATACTAATACTGTGATACTAATAAAGGCTTTTAAAATATTTTCTAGCGTTATAAACGGAATGATAAATTTATAATACCTTTCGAACGCTCGTCAGTACGGGTATAAATTATAACAATAGCAATATTAAATTTTTGAAGTGATAACGATTTTGAACTCCGAAAAACAAAAACTTGTAATAAAAGTCATCGTCCTTTGCCCTAATTTGCAAATTTCTCGAGAATTTATTTATTTATAAAACTGTATTTTTTGTATTACCATAATATTATACAAGTATTGGTGCAAATATGCCTTCGAGGGTCAAAATCAAAATTTTTGCTTTTAAATGTGTATAGATTGAGTCTTAAGTTTTACATTCGAATTTGTTCATTAATTATTAAATTAATCAAAACAGATATACTTTTGAGAATAGCTCATTTTTACCTGAAATAAGACTTAAATTCAGGTTTCGGATCTAAAAAATTGAATTCAACAGATTGATTTTGTAATTAACCAATAACCTTAAGTTCTCAAAGTTTAGTTTTCCTTTCGGATTAGGTTTGACTTTTATTTTATTTATTTGTTAGCTAAATATTGTTAAATTTCTTTTTGCTTACATTGAATTGGCATTTTAAAATTTCTAATATATTTTAATAAGATTTGTTATGGTTTATATAAAGCTACAAATATTATAAATTTGAAAAATAATTAAAAAAGCTTTCGTAGACACAAATTGCATCTAACCCAACCAAAATAACAAAAAGCAAGATGAATTTATAAGAGGAATTAAGGAAACAGTAATAAATAATTTTTATTATTTAATTTTGTTATCAATATTCAATTAAATGCAATTTCAGAATTGCGTAAAACTAAATGTTGATAACAATTACTGATAATCTACTTAAATGCAGTCTTGCAATTTATGAAATAAACAAAATAGCTACTGAATACTAAAATGTTTAAAATTTACTTATTGATGATTTTATTACCGGAAAATTGTAAAAATTAGCAAAATCAGAAAGAATAAACTTTTTGACAGCAAAAAGATTGTTGTACAATTATTCTTGCTTATATAAGAATTGCGATCTCAATAAATAATCGTGGCCAACATTTGTATTAAATTGCAATCGCAATTACAAAAATTATTAAATATGTTTTATCCAATCATAATAATAAATGAAGAACCCTTTAACATAAAGTACTTTTGGTTCGTGCACCTTACGGTAAGCACGGTTTCTCACTTTAATTATTTTTGTTCTTTATACGCTAGGCTCAGCTAGAAGATTTAATCTATTTTTCCTGTGTAAAATATTCATTTTTATCCAACTTGTTAAAATATATTGCTTAAAGGAAAATTCAGTGATTTGTGCAAAGAAAATGAAGTTTCCAGTGGTTTGTAAGTGCATTGATTCGTTTTAAAGCAGAGTTATTTCCAAGTTAACTCAACTAGGTTTTACTACCATGCCAATTGTAATGACGTATCATTCGTTTTTAATTGAATATTTTCTTAAGTTCATAATATTAGGTGTTTGAATTAAGTTTCAATATTTTTTTTTTGACATCGACATATTTAAATATCTGAATGCATGGAACATTTGAGTTTTCGAGTCAACTTGTTTTGAGAATATGACGAACAAGTAAACTTTTCGAAAAAATTCAGGTATGCTTCGGGATTGCGAACAATTTTAAGAGTCAAATTTAAGCTTACACTTTTAAACTAAATTGCTTACGGAGATAAAATTAGTGTTGAACATTTGAACTAACAAATTCTCCGAGAACATTATTCAAAAAAATTTTTAGAACCTCATATTCAAGTTTTATCTAGACGTTTCTTTTTTTTTTTTTTAAATTTCTTTAAGATTCAATTTGAAATATAAGGAACGGTAAGAACAATTTGAAATATAAGGAGGGTTTAAGAAAATTTGTTAAATTCTTAAACCCTTTTACGAAACTAACAAAAATAAATTTATTGAATTTTGTATAAAAGATTCAGAAACCCGCCAGGTCGATTATGTGCTTATCATACTAAATATTCTAACATTCAAAAATTAATTAATGTTTGTGTGTGCATGTATATTTTAAAAAGAAAAACAAAGACCAAAACATTTCTAATCAGTTTTGCATCACTCTGATGATAAACAAAATCAATTTTTAAGCGTCCTTTCTATTTTTGTTATTTGATTTAAATTATTTTTATTTTCTTTGATATTTTTTTTTATTTTTGTATTTCTTTTATGAATTTCATTTTGAAAACAAAAACATTCGATAAAGATTCGATTCCGTACACGTACCCACGTAATGAATCTGAAAAAATTAAAATTTTATTAAAATTATAAAATATTTTTTTTTTAATTTAGTGTTATTGAAACCGTCAGTGAAATTAGTAAATAATCTGAAGGAAAAATAGTGAAAAAAAAAATCTTGGACAACACAAAAATTATTGAAGAAAAAATTTATTTTTCAATTTATTACAAATATTAAAATACTCAAATTTGAATTAAAAAAGTAAACAAATAAATTAAAAAAAATTGATAAAAAAAAATTTTTATTGGAAAAATATTATTTTTCTAATTTACGTGGTTTATTTTATTTAGAAATTCTTGTTTATTTCATGAGCACTCTAAGAAATACGCACACTTTTACAAAATTTTAGGCGGAAATTTTTTTTTTTTAAATGATAAACAATAAACGTGGAAAATTTCTCTGTAAATTCTAAATTCAATGGTGATTCATGTTGATGATAAAAAAAATTGCTAGAGTGTGTGTGTGGTAGAAAAAAAACTCAAATTTGTTTTGTAAATAAAGAAAAGAGAAAATTGTTGACGATAATTTGTTTAGCAACATTTTAGTTTAGTTGTTCTTTAGTTCATAAAGCTATTCAATTTTTACTGGAGAGCAAATTAGAAAGTATAAAGTTGAAGACTAATTTTATTTGTGAAAATAATTAATTTTTGAAAAGTGTTAAAAAATTAATTGTTAAGACAGAATAAAGTGTCCGAAATATAAAAAAAAGACGGACAAACATTATAATACAAAAATTAAATTAGTTACTCCTTACCATTTTTCTTTTTGGGTTTTAATTTATATTTTATAGTCTGTTATAAGACAAAGTAATTTTTCTTAACATTTGTAAATTGAAATTAAAATAGGATGAATTGAAGAGATTTTCAAATATACCATTTTAAAATAAATTAATAAAGTGTATTATGTGGGTTTTCGTTAAAGCAGTTCTAGAATAGCCCTAATTTGTATAAATCGTTCGTAAATTACTCGCTGTAATAGAGTACATTCGGAAATTTATTCAGCAACAAAGAAATATCAGAAATGTAGGGTAGACATCTGACAATTTCTCTATACACGCATGAGATTTTTTTTCTCTTTTTTGAATTTAAAAGTTTCAAAATTTGAATTCTCATAGCATAGTCACTTATGTCCTTTTCGAACTTCAGAATTTGCATTGCATTTGCAAATTTGAAATATCAAATTTATTATTTTCAAATGAATTAGATTGATCCATTTGAACGGGTACCTTTCATGTAAGATACTTTTAAGGGAAAAATTCAACAAATATGATTGATTATGCGGTAATCTAGACAAATTTTGTTGAAATGGATCTTGCAAGATTTCTAATCCTGTAAAATATATACTGAACAGGGTTTAAAAAAATTTTAATTTATTATGACTTTGTATGCCGCGTAGAAATTATTAAATAATTGGTTAGAAATTCTATAAGTTTTGTTCAGTGTCACGCTTAAAAATTGATTCCACGATACCTTATAGATTCCGAAAAAGGTCTTCAATCTTTATTTTTTATTCCCTTTATGTTCTTATTTGTGTTTTTATTTTTATTAAGGTTTGTTATTAAGAAAAATTTAGTTTTCATTTGACACTATTTAATTTTATTTAGAAAGTTTGAAATTTAGTTTGAATTCGTTATGGCATAAATCGTTTGTTATAATTCACAATTGATTGAAACTGAGGTCTGGGAAGAATGATTTTTTGAATGTAGTATACAAAATTTTGCTCTAGGCAAATGAAAATATATTGAGAAACAGTTTTCCTTTATTCCGGTCCCCTTTCTTGAACTTTGAAGCTCTGAATTCTAAGCCTTCAGAGTACTAATAATTTTATAAAAACTTTTGTTTCATTAAATATTGTGATGTCTTAATCTTGAGTATAATTTAAAGGAGTTCTTTAACATTTTGTCTATTAGACATGATTTTCTTTGAATAAATTCCAAAATTGTGCCGAATAAATTTGTGAAAATTCGCTAAATTACTCATTTTTAATTTGCGTCATACAAAGTTGTTGATTTCTCACCAACTTTAGGAAAAACCTTTGACCTTTCATTATTCTAATAATTTCTATTCATGCAATCCGATACTTTTGATTCTATAGGTAGGAAACCAGTAGAATTTTCTTCAATTCAATCTATTTGACAAAATATTATTACAACCAAAATTAAAAAAAAACCTAATAAGAAAAGGTAAAGGAATAATCGTCTATTTTAAGGTACAAATTTCTTTTCAATTCAATTGAAACTCTTAACAAAAGACATTTAGAACACAAAAACATTGAGAAAAAAAAATTTAAAATTTTGAAAATAAATTGAAGTGGAAAAATTCGCTCTTTCATAAAATATTTTATTATTACCACGCTTTTTCATAAGAAATTTAAATTACTGTGAATAAATTACATCGGAAAACAAATTTTAATAAATAAATTCAAACAAAGGGGGAAAAAAACAAACTTTTTCACAATGCCAGAATTATCACAAGATGCCTTTGAATGTTTAAATCCTGGCAGTCCGCCAGCTACACCAGAACAATTAAGAGCCCGCGCAAATTCAAGTTCCAATCGAACAGAAATTTTAATAACATCAGATGAAAGTACCTTACCTATGCCAGCTATTGCTACTACTTCTAACGGTATTACATTTGGTCAGCAACAAAAACAACAACAATCAAAGCAAAATCATAACAAATTAAATTTATATTTTCAAAATGGTAGTGGTGGCCATAATTATTTTACTTGTTATAATGGTGTTAACAACAACGGCATTTACAATTCAAATGGAAATTCATCAAATTTAAATGGAAATTTCCTTTTTGTTAACGGATTCAATGGTAATCTTAATGAATTTCAAGATGAAATGCGTTCTCGTTCATTTACATTTGGTGAAACAGAATTAGATATGTCATTTTTGCATGGTGATAAAATGGAACATAAACGTGAATCACAGCACAGGTAAGAATTGAAAATAAATCATACGTACGCATGAATGTACGTAGGTGTATGTGTATAAGCAAATTTCGAGGTTATGTACACATTTAGAATTCAATTTTTTTTATACTTTTTCTGAGAAAAAAGGATTAAGGACAAAATTAGTTTTCGAAGGTTTAATATTTTCTTTTATAAAATAAAACAAAACGTAAATTTAATTGTAATTTAAAAAAATAAGAGAAAGTTTTTTATATTTAAGAAAATTTATTGGCATATTTTATGGAACCTTTTCCTTCTTTGTACTTAACTTAAATCATAAAAGAAAATATGAAATGATTTAGGATCTGTTCCGAAAACTTTAATGTTATTCAAGCTAATTGTAATGGGGAAATGTGTTTGTTTTACATTTATTATATTGCGTCATGGGAGATAATCTCAGGTTTTTCTTTTTTCAATGGAAGACTTTATAAAGCAAGCTTGTAACGAGAAAGTTTTAAAATTGAAATAAGGACTTTTCTCTAAATAAATGTTACATTTATACTGATAATTCTTAAATCGTTTTTTTTTCTAAAAATTCATGTGGACCGCAGCTATGTTGTTAACTGTATGTAGATAACAGTTGCAGGGGAAAAAGAAGTCATTAATTTGGATTGTAGAAGTGTGTTGCCTTCGGTCTAACTAAATAAATAAAAATTGTCAAAAAAAATTAAAAAATATTTTTAGTCGGTGAATGAAATGCATATACATTATATAGTTTCGAAAGCTTTCGAAGAAAGCTGTTAGCAATGGGGCCAACAACGGAATTCTTAACAGAAACCAAATATGATACATGATTGGCTTAGAAAACTAAAATTAGGAACCTCTTAGTTCTTCTCTTTAAAATATTTGTATCAAAATTTGGAAATCGCTGCGCTGACTTACTAAACAGGAAACAAAGTGAATAATATTTCACCTAAAAATGAAAACTTATTTTCACTATTGTCAATATATCGGGGAACAAAAACTTCTGGAACCCAATCTGTTGAACATTGTACATTAATATTAATTTGCATTTTCAACTTTATTCAATGCAATTTTGCTAGAATACTTGCATATCGCTAAAATGCAAAAACATGCAAATTTTATTCTACTGTGTATAAATTCTGTTACTAATTGAAATTTAAGGAATGTAATTTAATTTATTAAGCAAATATACTTACTAATACATACTTTCTTGTAAAAAAATAAAAATTGAAATTATTTATAAAATTATTTATGGTTGCATTATGATAATTACAATAATTAATTACCTACATATTATATAAATAAAATAATGAAATTGCATAAGAAGTTTTACAGTTAAATGACTCATCATAATTTAATATTGAATAAAATTCATTATAAAAAGTTAATCCTTTCCAGTAAATAATTTAATTTTTTTATTATTATAAATAACTCTTCTCAATAATTCGTATATAATATATAAATTTAATTTTTAGTAATATTAATTATTCTTGAGAAATAAAATAATTTGTTTTTAATTTAATTGAAATCATACACAACAAGATTTAACGTTGCTTCTAAGGACTTAACGACTAATTAGCATAAAATATTTTTATTAATCCGTTTTTACATAATATGATAAAAAGTATTTTTGTATCTTTTTTGGAATTATTGCCAGCTACATATATAGGGGCAAATTAGTAAATAAAGGCATTGTTCCATATTGTACAAATTATAACGATTTATCACGTTCCGTATTGTATTTAAAAAAAAATTTACAATGTTATGCGTTCGGAATTATATAAAACGCGTTGTCGAAACGCAAAAAATAGCAAAATGTACATTCTATAAATTCAGGATTCTCTTTCTAAAATTTTGACAATAACTATTACTGGTATATATTGGTTAATATTTAAATTGACATAATGCTGATTTTTGACTTGTTAAGTTAAATTTTGGTGCAAAATATTGGAATTTGGCTGCATATTTTAAGGATGATAGTGAATTATATCTATAAAGCCTATCTAAAGAGAAATGTCAATGTCAACAAATGAAAATTTCTATCCGGAAATGTATAAAAAAAACTTTGTGTTTTTTTGGGAATGCAGTGTCATTGTACGATTATTCAGCAATATACACTAAGTCCTCGAGTTACGACATTTTTGGTTTCAGAATTTTATGTCGCAACTCGAATTGTTGTTTGAGTAGGAAAAAAATGTATGAAAACAAAAAGTGAATTAGGCCAAACTATTTTATAATATAATTGAGCTATTTTTTAAAAAAAGGTAATAAAGTTTAAAAAAAAGCAACAAAATACATTAATGAAACCAAAAAAATTCAATGTTACAACAGAAAATAAATAAAATCTGATTGAATTGACAAGTTCTTCAATTCGAATTTTTAACTAATGACTAGAAGTTTTTAACTAGTTAGAAGAGTTATTTATTGAAGTATGTGCTTTAGTCTTGTATCTTATAACTAAATTTGGTATAGATTTTTATTCAAAAAACAGTAAAATCTGTCAAAAACAAAAAAAATTTTTAATTTTTAATGTCGTATCAGGAATAATGTCGCAAGCCGAATAAAAATGGTCTAAATTTATATTGTGCCGTGATTCGAAATGTTGTATGAAAAGATGTCGTATTTCGAGGACTTAGTGTAATTTGCATTGCTGAATAAAAGAAATTGTAAATTGATTTGCATTTAGGTACGTAATTAAGTAAATGTACTAGGATACAATAAAATTATGCTGCACTTCCTAAATTGTTATTGTGGTTGTTCAATTGAATTCATAAATTTGCGTTTAAGTTCAATTCAGCAATTTATGCTTCAGCTGAATTACAATTGTGCTTAAGCTGAAATAATATTATTACATAAATTAATTATTCACTTTTATTAAAAATTTTTGAAGACCTTTTAAATTTTTAAGCAGTTTTCACAAAATTAAAACTATTATTGTACAAAATAGAGTTTTTAATTTTAAATTTTTTTTAATATTTCCAATCTCTGATTTTATTTAGCATTTTAGTGCCAACATTTATTGAAACTTTATTTGATATTGATAATTTTAAAAATCTCATAGCAACTTTAGAGATTATTGGTATTCAAAACAAAATATAAAAGAGATAAGCTTTGAAAAATATTTTTTTTTCTTCCCTGTTAATATTTTTTCAACTAACACCAAATAAATTATGATTAATGATTATAATTGTTAAGTTTATTTATTTATGTGTATATATATATGTACATATGCACACATTATGTAGTTTATGCTTGTAGCCGTGTAGCTATTCTAATAACACAATGAAAATTAAATGTAGATATGCGAATTATTATTGAAATTCCCACATAATTTCAATTTTTAAAATATATAATAAATAAGTTTGCATAACTTTAGGAGAACAATTGTGAATAAAATTGCATATTGTGATTAAAAAATGTAATTTTTCTCTGATTTTTGTATGAATTTTTCAATTACATAACATTTTATTTAACGTTCGTTTAAATTACAAATTTTAATTTTTAGTGAAGTTGATTTAATTTTCTATAGTACTCGGAATTTTTTGGTTCAATATTGGTTGCTTTTCCTTATTTTAATCAATGATATAGACTTAAGTTCTTATGAAAATTTGTGAACAATTTAATTTTATTAGCGTTTTATTTGTAAGTCTGCTAAATGGCAAATGAAATTTTCGTATTATAATTACTTTTTATGCTGCTTTTACAATCTACCATTATTCTTTTATTGCCATGGTAACCGATTTACTCCAATTCTGTTGTTGTTTGTGCAATTTTTAGTGTTAAACTTAATATCTTCTTCCGAAATAAATACGTAAATTGAAAATTATGCCAGCAATCTTCTTAACAAGAAAATTTTAAAATTCTGAAAATGTATAAAGCTTAACCCATTCCTGGCTCTATAAATAACAATATTTCGATGTTATCACGCCTACAACTAAAATAAACTTTCAAGTTAGATTTACTCAAATTCAGTTTGACAGATTCCATTTTTTTAAATTAAAATAAAACCTATGACGTTTAAATTGTATATACCATTATTGAGTACGTGTTATTCAATTTTTCTGTCTGGCTACAATTACACTCGATTAATTCACGAGCAACTGATATAGGCTTATTCTGATAATTTCTGACAAAAGAAAAACCACACTAGAGTGAGTTTCGATGTTTCATTTAAAAATTTCTTTTCATTTACATTTATATTGATTTTTCGACCCCATATTTTGTAATATTTTTTAAAATATTCAATAACAAAAAATAACCTAGCTCAATGAAAATTTTTAATTTTAAAGACAACATTGATTTCTCAATGCAATTTCATTTTGTTATTAAACTTAAAAGATTTTGCATGTACATCTCTTAAATAATCCTTTTAAACTATTTGATTTCTATATAGAATTTGAATGAATCCGAAATCAACTTTTCTAATATAAAATTTAATTGTATAGATTTTGTTTAATAATTTAAATATTTCTACTATTATTGATTCTATTCAAATCTTTATCCGACATTTTTCTGAAACATCAAAAAAAAAGGATTGTTGTAAGAATCTTGTGTAAATAAATTCATTGGTATTCTCAAGTTTGAAGTAAAATTCCAATATTTATACAATAATAAATTAAGGCAATAATATTAAACCTATCAGACATTTTATTTTAATTTTTTTAGTCTGCCTTGCGGTTTCAAAAATTTACCATATTTTATTATTGGTTTATTTACATTCTTTTTTAATCCTTGACTCCTAAATGAATCTATATCCAAATCGATTAACATATGATTTAAGTAGATTTAAGTGGTATTTTAACCACAGAATATTGGGCATGTATTTTATGTTTATATACGTGACCTTAACCGCAATTATCAGTTCGTCCTATGAAAACAAAAAATATACAAGCATATATGTACGTATGTAGTTATAGGGGGGTCTTTAACAAATATAATATTACTAAATGGTTGCTTTTCTAATGTTTTTTTAATTTTAGGACTAAATCCTTTTATTATGTATACTCACCTATGTATTTTAA